CCCGTTTTCACCAAAAATGGACCCGTTTTCACCAAAAGCGCACCTGTTTTTGGCCTGCAGAGTGCTTTTGGGGACCAGGGAGGACGAAAACGTGAGGCACAGAGGGTTCGGGAGGCCAAAATTGCTCGTATTTGGTCAATAAGATGCACCTAAATTTTCACCCACTTTTGGGGGGTGGGGAAGATGTGTCTTATACTCCGAAAAATGCGGTATACTCCATCTGTTTGCTTCTAAGATAGGGGTGTCCAACTTTGACAACTTTAAAACTTGTGGACTTCAACTCCCAGAATTCCCTAGCAGCCATGTACAATAGGCTAAGGTGCCAGCAGCAAGCAGAAGATTGTTTGCTCATGAAGGGAGCAATGAAGACTTCAACCTAAGTCCTTCCCCAAAATCTGGATCAGTAGTGTTGGCCTTGTCTTATATTTTATCCAACAGCTATTCTCTTACCTAGTGCTCAGGCTGGGAAATACTAATACAGGTATTCCTCACTTAAGAACCAATCATTTTATGACCATTATGATGTCCACGGAATATATGTCGTACCCCCAACCATCATAAATGATGGTGCCACCTTCCTATAATCACATGGTTGCATGTCGGACAGGTCAGCTTTACAACCATTGTTTTAAATGTTTGCAAATGACCACAATTCATGATGTGTCTTGCCACCTTCCAGGAAAAACACCATCTGAAATGAATGGGGTTGCTTAACTATTGTGGTATTTGCTTAATGACCACCACATTTGCTTAACAATCGCAGCAAACAATTCATGACCTCTGCAAAAAAAAAAAAAAAAAAAAAGGTCAGAAAATTACTTCCAGCCACATGGGTGTCTCGATTTACAACCTTGGCTTAAATCCGTCTCGATTACAGTCTCAAATTAAGTTGAGGAATACCTGTATAGCAGGTGCACTATATTAAAAACTATACAAATGGATTTTATGGGCGATGTGTGATGGCCATGTGTCTAATTACAACTTTGTCATAGAGGACGGATTACATGCATTTGCTTTAAAAAGAAAATGAGCATCTGTAACTAAATAGCTCAAGCTGACTATACATTTATTTTAGAAACCAAGAACAAAATAATGGATGCTGCAATGAATCAGCTGGGAAATATTTCTGTTCTCCTCCTGCCTCATGGATCTACATTTCTCATCACCAGCTGTCCTCTGTTTGCAAGTTTGGTTAGCCTTCCCATGTTATAGCTATGGCTGATATACAGGTAGTCTTCAACTTACGACCACAACTGAGCCTAACCCTAACCCTAACCACAACTGAGCCCAGAATGTATATTGGTAAGTGCAAAATTGGTTAAGTGAGCTATGTCCCATTTTGAACTTTTCTTGCCACTTTTTGTTAACCGAATCACTGCAGTTGTTAAATTAGTAACACGGGCTGTTAAGTAAATCTGGCTTCCCCGTTGACTTTGCTTGTCAGAAGCATGCAAAATATGATCACATGACCCCGGGACATTGCAACCGTCATAAATATGAATCTGCTGTCAAGCATCAGATGACTATGGGGATGTTGCAATGGTCATAAGTGTGAAAAATGGTCATAAGTCACTTTTTACAGTGCTGTTGTAACTTCGAACAGTCACTGAACAAACTGGACTACCTAGGCTTTCTTATCCATAATGTAATCCAGATAAGAATTCTGTTCCTCAATCATCCAGATAAGATTCTTTTTCTCTTCTATATCCGTGCTCTCCTTTCTGTTGCTAAATATGAATGGAAATGTTAATGTACAGAGTACTGATCTTTCTGAGCAGGGCTAGCCTGGAAATCTATAATTCATTACCATCATTAAAACAGATGGAGGAAATAACTGGAACCTTTTTAAGGGACATAACTGTCAATATGGCAAGACCCGGCCATATAGATTCTACCATAATTGTCATTGCAGATGTGGCATTAGCAAGAGTATGATTTTGTCAATTAATCTTTTTTTTTTTTAAATTCGTAGTTTATTATAGCTTGGAAGAATCCATTTGTAATGACCTTATTTTACATGATGCTCTTCACTTTAAACAAATTTACTACCTGCTCTCTTTACCCTTTGAACATGTTTGGTTACACTTTCTCAGCGTAATGCATAACCTTATGGCATACAGTTAAAGCAACCCTCCTTAATTAGTAGTGTTTCCTTTTAGCTAAATATTGTGTTGATCGTAAGCTCCTTCTAATTGCTTCATCTAACTATCTAGGCATGGAAAAATGTTGAAGGAACTGTTTTAAGTCCATAATCCTTTGAGACGTTGTCTCCGTAATTTAACATTCTTTCTTTCCTGCTTAAATAATAACTAAAGGCATAATGTGTGGTTTATTTTTAACTACTGGTAAGGATTATAGCATATAAACTCAGTGAAGGAAGCAATCCTGTACTAACAGCAGAGTCTCTCTTCTTTTAAAATCTGTAAATTAAATAATGTCAAAGCAGAAATGCTCCAGACCGTTTCTAACTATCTTTACTTGCATTTTACTTTTACAAGGAAAATAGCCAAACCTAAAACCAAAAGAGCAGCCATTCAAACTATATTACTCCTAGTTTGTATATTATAAAGGAAAACTTCAGAAATACTTTCACAGGCAGAAAAGGTGGTTTGTCTTGGCAAAACTCTGCCTGAAGATCCCACTGTCACTGTTGCTTCTCTTTGACCAAAAATGGGCCCAGTGATAAGGGAAGAAACTATACATTCTCAGGATTTTAACTTTTCTCCTTCTCCAGGAAGTGTGTCTCAAGCTATGCCGGCCCTGCAGTTGGAATAGGATTCTCTTTTCTCTATCCATTGTACCTATGGTTGTTTTTAATGTTTTAATGGGTTGAGTTTTATAGTTTGATTTGATATGTCTTTTAATTTTTGATTGGGATTCACACAGAATTAGTTGAAAGATGGAAAAGATGGCCAGCTATGTTTTAAAAGAGAGAGAGAAAGAGAGAGAGAGAGAGAGAGAGAGAGAGAGAGAGAAAGAAAGAAAGAAAGAAAGAAAGAAAGAAAGAAAGAAAGAAAGCCCTGTGTTATATCTCCAGCAAGCAATCACATCCTGAATGCACTAGAGCATCCCAAAATTTCTCCCTCTCCACACCTCACGGTGTTAGAACTGCCCAACTTATTACAACAATCCAGCACACAATTACTTGTTTCTTTCTAACTGAATTTGGTTAGTAAATAATTTAAAACTCAAAGCATGATCAAGTTACAAATTACAGACTTCTGCATGCCATTGTAACTTTCTCATTAAAGACAATGTAATTTAAAAATTAGTTTCTTCGGTTAGATAATGTTTCATTGCTTTATTTAAAGTATTCTTTACTAGGGTCGAAGTGATTGTTCGTATGTATGTGCGTGTCTGAGTGAATGTTCCTGAGAGTGATCTGAGAATGATTAGTGAAACAAGTTTTACAACAGAAAGGAGACTGATTTACAAGAGATAAATTGTAGAGATAGGCAAAGCCTAGTATCTATAGCCTAACTATACCAGGAAAGTCTCAGTGGGACTGTGAAGAAAAGCAGAAGGAGCTGACCTCATCTTAGCAATTTATTAAACAAAGAGCAGTCAGCATAGTAGACTAAGTGAGGATGTTGTATGTATGTAAGCATGTACGTACGTACCGTATGTGTTAAATTTATATGCCGCCTATCACACTGTCAATCAAGGACACATAATCAATCTTCTCTATATACATCCTTTGCCCCTTTGTGGTCAGTTGGTCAAGAGTTTATGCCACTGGATATGTATCTCCACTGTTCCTTTAAAAAGCCGCTACACTTTCCATCTACAAAGACAAAAGAGTATTTTTGTCTTCTTCTATTTGGGGAGCACTTACTAACTTACATAAACGACTTATCCATGAAGGCTCTGACCATAAATCCTGATTGCAAGGACGGATACAAGCAGTAGTTGTGTTTAAAAAAGAAGAAAGAAGAAACAGAGAAAGAAAAGATATTTTAATTTCAAGGTTCACTGGAAAAATAACATTAAAAAAAAATCAATGTTTGCCAAACAGAAGGACAAATTCATATGGGAAATAAAAATGTATTTATAAGATTCAAAGACAGTCTGATAAGTCACGTTATGTTGGAAAGAAAATATTAGCAAAGCACTTTTCAGGTTTGCCATCCAGATTTGTCTGGAAAACTCTTTATTATTCAAGGATGATACAATAGTTCCACAAAGCCTAAGAATTCCTATTGTTGCCCGATAAAGATTTACTCTGGGGGCAGGTTTCTAATGTTTGAATGAAAAAAAAAATCAAATGAAATGGAAGGATTTCGTGTTGCCACACGGACAGCATCTGCTGCTACTCTGTGGATCAGTTCTCCAAGCCTTATTCGCCCTCTTCATTCTCATTTCTTTCTTTATCTTGCAGTTCAGCTAAGCAAGCTTAGAAAAAATGGACTCATTTGGCTGATTCCCATGACCCAGGCACCCAAATGCCATTAGGACATTCTGTAGAGTTGGATTCCTCAGGCCGCCCTTTTTGCCATGCACTGTCATCTACCTTGGACATTGAACATTTCAAAAATGACTTTTATATGATTAAGTGTGCAAGCCTGTGCATTGTAGCACCGGCTGCCAGGTCTTCTAGCCTTACTCTGAGTGTCTCAGACACCAGCTCCATCACTGATTGATTGCCCCATGTGGCTGGGGCATTTCAGGGACAAGATTTTTCTTCCTGCTTATGTTGTGGTCTTTGTTTTCAGATTTCCATCTTGCCTGGCTTTTTGAAGAAAGTAAGAAGGTGGTTCTTACTGTTTTTTTAAAAAAAAATCTGCCCATGAGGGCTTTCATTCTTTTCCCAAGTGGTGGTTGTTATTTTTAAGTAATTTTGTTCATTCTTTTGTGTAGCATTCCACTGCAGTTCAAACATGTGCCAGGTGAGGGCAGGGACAGAACTGAACAATGCAGATCAGCCATATACTGCACAATTCTAGTCAGGGTTTCATCTTCCATCCTGGTGATTCCAGAGAGTTTCAGCAAGCCAGACCCAGCTTTCCTGATTTATTTCCACTGCTGTTCTTCCCCTTGAAACCTACTCCCCATACTCCATTTGTTCACTGAGTTGTTAACCACAGAGAGGGAACGATGAAAAACCCAACAGTTCCGATAATAAGATGAAAATATCTCTCAATGCCAGGGCTTTTACTCTACCACATCGATAACAGTTTAAAGCTTTTCCTCTTTGGACAGAGAAAATCACAGCCATTGGGGAGCCCAACCAATGAACTTTCTGGGAGATATTTTCTCTTTTATAGCATTCTCCTTCCTGTTCAGCTGCTCCTGGTAAGTTGAGCCCGTAGTAGAAAAAAAGCAAGCTTCAATCTCGCCATGAGAATTGGCAGGCAGAGACTCTTTTTTTATTTTGTTTTGGCTTGGCTATATCAGTGGATGCTAGTTAAATATTTTTAAATGTGTGTTTTATTCTTTCTGTATTTTGGCTTAGTGGAATAGTTGGCTAGGAAAGTTGGATAGGTATGGCTGAACGCTCTTATCCATTTTAGCCTCAAAATAAGCAGTGAGGAGCCATAGCAATTGGGAAGGTAATGATTCACTGACAGGCACTTGTGTGGGTAGGTTCAAATGTATGCCTTTTCTGTGGCTTGGGTGCTTAGGATGCCAAAGTACCAAGTCATCTCATTCTCACGCAGATTCTTTCACCCTAGAATAGACCTAATCCTTTATTAAGCCTAAGTGTGATTTTCAACACCTAGGGATATTCTCTGTCCGGCAGATAAAAATCTAAAATATGCACATCCCATCATACCTCAGTAAAAGCAGTGATGTCTGTCATGTGCTTAAAAGCTGAACTAAAGCTTCTCTGTCTTTTTTTTTTTTTTTTTACATTTTCACCAGTGACTTTGCTGCTGTCCATTGATGGCCTACAACAGAAGGACTTCATGCTATTTCAGAATGGATTCCAGACCTAGGTATTTGCCTGATATTGGCAAGTTCAAAAAAGTGGGTTGTTTTTTTTAAAAAAAAAATTCTAGTTCCTGTAACAGGAACAAAGCTAGTGTTTTTCTTTGCAATGCTGGTATGCCACTGAGTTTATTTTCCTACTTGCATGAAAACCTTACTTCTCAATCTCTCTCTCTCTCTCTTTCTCTCTCTCTTTCTTCCTTTCTCCTTTAGAGCTTCAGCATAGGTTTCTGATGCCTGGCTGCAAGCAGTGTCTTCCCTCTCCCTTACACAAACACCTGCAGTTATATGCAACTATGAGATAAAGCACCTAATTGCAGAATTGTCAACATGCTATCATTTCATCTTCACACCTTGCCAGAAGCTTTGAAACGCAAGGAAAAAAGGTGGCATGAGAGGAACATTTCCCTCATAACAATTGCTAAAATAATCAAATGCATGTACTACACAACTAAAAATGTGTTTGTATGTTATTATTTATTTCCCCTTTTGAGGAATAGGAATAGAAATTATAGTTACTCCAGAACTGGTGGTAGTTTGGGGCAGAGCCCTGATCGAATGTGATTCTTGGTGTAGTTTCCTGTTGTTCAGCTCAAGAATACAAAGCTTGGGGGGGGGGTTTGCCTTTTATTGGGTCATGGTTCTGGGGTCAGCAGAAATGAGGATGATTATAGGTCAACTGTTTTGGAGGACTGAAGAATAGAAGTGAGGGTAGTATAGAAGTATTTTTATACTAATTATTCATTTCGAGGATTTCTAGCATTATTCTCCTTTGTCCAGACAGATGTCATTGTTATTCATATCTAATGAGAATGTAACATAGCATTTGCTTTTGACTGACTTTTGAATAATGTGTGTAATTAAAGCCAAGGAAGAAAAAGCAGGGTCAGAGACACAAAAAATGACAGAAAAAGTAATAGACATACAAAAAAGGCAAGCTGTAACACTGCTAAACAATTGAAGGAATCTAATAAAAAGAAACTTTATATTGAAAACATCTATCTGTTTATGCATTAATATGGCTCCCAAACTCAAACCAAATCTTCCCTATTTCCCTAGATTGTTTCCCGCTTTTCTTCGGGCAGACTTTAGGCATCTTTGTTGCTTCAGTTTTTGTAGATCCTCTGTAAATCCGAGATGTCATCAGAGTTCGTACTTAGGGAGAGTCCACATGGGAACAACCCACTCTAATGTCCCTGTGTCATTCTAAGAGTGAACAAGGCCTCAGCCAAATCATGTGTCAAAGCCTCAGACAAAAGCCCAAGTTCCTTCCGAAATCCAATTGGGTCTATTAGGCTCCTGGTATAGGCAGATCAAATAGACCCAGCCTCTCTGTGTTGGAGGGGTATAAAAGTAAATTATGAGGTGGGATGACTCAGTGGTTAAAGATGCTGAGCTTGTCAGCTGGAAAGCTGATGGCCCAGGTTCGGGTCCCAAGCACCGCACAATGGAATGAACTCCCGTTATTTGCCCCAGATCCTGCTCACCTAGCAGTTTGAAAGCCTGCAAATGTGAGTAGGTAAATAAATAGGAACCACTTTGGTGGGAAGGTAACAGCATTCCATGTGTCTTGGCATATAATCATGCTGGCCACATGACCACAAAAAATGTATTTGGACAACTCTGGTTCCCTTAGCTAAAAATCAGAGATAAGTACTTTGGACACGATTGGACAAGATAAACCTTTACCTTCACCTTTAAAGGTAAATTCTTGAGTCACCAGAGAGTGATCTGCCCATGACAAGGCACTGATGGTAATAGCCCAACTCCAGATGATGTCACCACTTTGAAAAGTAGGTCTATCATGCAACCGATGCCCCATTTAGTTCCATGGTTGGAATACTGAAGCTTTTGTCATATTACCAATAATATTCTATTATTTAGTTTTCTACAGGTTCAGGTTGTAATTTGCCTTTCTTTTCCTTCTGCATTGGGTGCTGCCTTTTGTTTCTTTTATTCTCTTTTTAAACACAGGCAGAAGCCAAGATTTGGCAATGTTTATGAAGATGATAAGGGACAAAATGACTATACACATAAACATAGATTATTGACACTTTATCAGAGCTATTTCTAAGCAACAACATTGTGAATCCTTGTTACATAATAAGAGAAACATAATAAAAACAAAACAAAAAAAGGAAAAGGAAAACAGAGAGAGCTCATTTATTCATAGAGTGAACTCAATCTATATGGCTGCCCACTTACAAAACATAAAGAAAAATATATTTTAAGATTTCATTTTAAAGATTGTTATCCAGCAAAATGTTGCTGCATATGAAGGTAATCTATTATGGAAAAAGTATTATTACTATAGCTAAGACATAGTGACCAGATTTAAACAGCTTTTGTTTTGATTGTTATTTTTCAAAGCTCTTGCTGAATTAATTTTCAAGTAGAGTAATTTCTCACATATTCATATAACATTGAGCCATTGAAAGAGATATCTTATTTTTCCAGCTTTTTCCTATAACAAATCTGGCAGTTTACAACTGGACTTGAATCAATTTTTTACGTTCAATTTATGTACCCTACAAAATGTTGAAGAAGAAATCAACAGCAGGATTCCGTGAAATTTTGGAGATTTTTCTCTAGTTTCTCCAAAATGTTTAGTGAAAAGCAGTAACAAATTGAACACTATCATCGCAAATGGGAGTATGTTACTAGTTCACTTACAGTCCTACCAAGGAAAAAAATTAAGATGTTGTGAAACATATGGATTCTGACTGAAATTCAGAACTGGAGAATATTCTGCTGAATATTATAGATAAACATCAGCTTAGACCATTCAGACACTGTTAAATTCACTGGTCTTTCATAAGTTGTGGAGCCTATAATAATGAAAACAAACAACACATATTTTCATGTCCATAAATTACCAGTAAATCATTTGGGTACGACATAAAATTCTGCTTAGTGAAATGTGCTATATATGTTCTATCAAGCTGCCATTTTGATATTATAACCTCTGAAAAATAATGGAAGGCCAGTTTATATAGAGATGTTAAGGGTTAACATCTCTGTACAGTATCTCATTTAAATGGGTTAATATATAACAATGTGATAACAGTCTAAACCTTTATTTTACACAGTGATGCCAACAATTATTCTCCCACTTGTCTAACCTAAAAATAGTAGGCCACCCTAAATTGTAAGTCTTTAAAGGTCTGCATGGACCAGCCATGCCAAATGAGGAAATATTGATGGGTTGGTTTCCTTGGCAACAGAATATGTCAGGTTACATTCCTTTGATTAGTGGACTTTCAAAGCTGATGTGAATGGAGGAGGAGGAGGAGGAAGAGGAGGGGGAATATAATCCATCTTTGAATTCTTAGCTTCTGATCATGCCTCTACCCAAAGATAGCAAATAAAATCAATCCATGGCAGATCACCCTGACCTGTAAATGTATGGTCAGCTTTAATGGAGCTAATAGTCAACAAATTCCCATTTTGTGAAAAAAGCTCAAGTTTATGTCTAATTAATGTAATAATAATTTGAACAATCTTTTTTCACATTCAGAAGCCATCCATCTTTATCTTTAATAAGCATCATTGCATACCCATAACTCCTCATGTTCACAGACATGATATAAGTTACACTCAAATTAGCCAAACAGGGTTATACTGCAAAGCTGTCTTCAAACACTTGCCCTGAATTGAAACTGGGTGGAAGTTGGGATCATGCCTGCAACCCCACTTTTATTCTTTGCAATAAGTACATATTCATCAAGAAGATATCAAGATCTGTTTCAGTGCTTATGTGAGTATAAGGACAGCTCTTGGCACAACCAGGGCTCTAAAAATGCTATACCTTGGATTATTTGAAAAACTCTACTCGCATTCAGCCAAGGTGAGTGCAGCTTCTCTTCATACCTCCTCCTTAAGAAAGGAGAGAGCAGAGCATGCTTCATTATATGTTGTGTGTTATAACTTGCCAGCAGAGGACTGCTATTTGATGCCTACTTTCAACAAGAAGTCAATAGAATAAAATGGGACTTATTTCCAAGCAAAGTTACGGAATGGAGATAACAAGGAACCAATGTTTCTCAGGGTAGGCAAAAACATTATGTAAGCACTAAGTAGGTGAACCCCAATCTCAAGCCCTGGTGAAAAACTGGTAGTCAAATATCTATTGACTTGGAAAAGTGCGGGTGGGGGAAAGGCCTAGGATTTGATTTAAAGTGTGCTTTCTTTCTCTTTCTTCATTATCCATCTATCAGCTTTGAGTTCTGTGTTCTGCAATAGGTAGAGCTTCTGTGTATGTCTGATTTGTTTCTGCTTTTGATAAAGCAACTTATTTAGCTGTGTCATATTTGTGAGCTAGTGCTATCAGTATGGTCCAAAATGGAGTTGTCCAATATCAAGGTTGCAGTTCAATCTAGATAGTTAGTACAATCTATGAACCAGCTAATCCAGCCAGTAGGGCTAAATCTGACCAAATTAATAGCAAATTAATTCAGTTAATTAAACTCCTGAGAGAGGGAGTCAGTGTCAGGGGAGGGGATGATGTACTTGGAGTCTCAAGAGAAGGAAGAAAGAGAAGCAGAAAATGGAGAAAAGGGGAGTGTAAAAGATGAAGCTGTCCAGTAGTTCACAGGCGAGGTAGAAGTGTTATGCAAATATTGAGTGGATGCCACCCAATTGTAAGACTGGGTTGAGACTTCCAAATGAGGGAAGAAACAACCTAAAATTTCAACCTGAAACATGGCTGTGTGTGTGTGTGTGTGTGTGTGTGTGTGTGTGTATGTGTGTGTATGCACTCTGATTTTTGTGTTCTACAGTAGGCAAAACTTTTGCATATATATGACTTCTTTCTTGTCTGCAATAAACTAAGTTATCTAGCTATGCCCTGCCTGTGTGTTTTCGCTGTAAGCAAGTTCTAGAGAGTTGAGATTTATTGTCATCCCTGGCATTGAATGCATACTGAGTTGTAAAACTATTATTCCTGAATTCTTGGGAATTAGCCTAATTGAAGTCAATGAATTAACATAGAAAGCATTCTCAAATGGTTTCTGAGGACCAGTTATTTCATTCTATGGTACCCAAAATGTTCTACACCTATCAGTGAAAGAATTTTTACCAGAATATGTAGAGACTTAAGCAGAGGACCACATACTGATTTTAACATTTGCATTCAGATGTGATGGCACATCCTTGATTATGTAAGGAACAGACTATTCTACTCCCTGTGGGGCAAAACAAACAAAAAGCAAAACCGCCCCCTCAGTTTTTCTAGAAATGAAGATGAACTGAATTCCCATTTCACACTATGGAATCCGGATTAGGTTATATTCAGGCTGAGAAAATATGGCTGTTACCAAATAGTTTTTATTATTTGCAAAACTCATATGCTGCTTCAGTCATGGTCTCTAAGTAGCTTATGGCTAGTAAGTAGCTAGTACAATAATACTACCATCATAGGATAATAGCCAACAATGATAAAATCAGATGAGTTATCAATATCAAAAGATAAACATTTAACATAAATCTCTCAATAAAAACTTACCAGATAGCCAACATTTGATTCAAACGACATTTATTCCCTGTAACATCTTTAGAAGAACAATATTTTAACTGTTTATATAAATATTAATAGAGAGGAAGCCACACTAATTTGGGAAGCATTTTCTGGCCCCATATAATCTATTTTCCAAAGATGGAGGCTCACAACATGCCTTCTCTGCTGGCTTAAATCAAATGCCGAGATTCTATAGGGAGCAAGTAGTCTCATGATTCTCAGGACTAAACCATGTAGGGCTTTTTAGGTAATAACGTTGAATTTCAGTTGGAAGCAAATTAGCAGCTCCCATAATAAAACTGGCTAAAAGGGCTCTTACACATTAGTAATCAGATACCTGCATTTTGTGCCAACTGTAGTTTCCAAGCAGTCTTCAGATGGACAACAGGTTGCAGTAATCCAATTATGGGGCAAGAAAAGTATGAATAATCATTGCTCCCAAATT